GTATATAGTAAAAAATTAAGAACAAAAATGTATATTATATAATTTATTATTTTAGCTTTTACCTCTTCTATAGCTTAAACGTTTTATTAAAAAAACAGAATTTTGAGTCTGTTGCATAGGTACTTATAGGATTACAAATAGTATTTGAGTGATGTGAAGTTAACATAAAATATTATCTATTTATAAGCATACTCCATTTGGCACTTTATACTTTATACCTACATACCTACGTCGCACACATTAATATTATTTTTTTTAAAATTAATATTCACGTAAATAGGTATTGCAGTTTCTGCTTTTTTCCATTATGATAAAAATATTAAAAACTATTGCATAATATTTGAAAGGAATGCAGCGAGAGGAAAATAAAAACAATTTTTTTTCTTTGAAAATAACAAACGAATAGTCATAATCACTAATTTTACATTTTTTTTTTTTTTTGATTTTTCTTTTTACATTTTCAAAAATTCATACATAGGAACAGAATATTAAATTTTTAACAACTTACAACAGTGCGCCAACTACTAACATAAGTGCATTGACACGTATAATTTATTTGTATAATATAATATATTATTTTATTATTCGTAACTTTGAATATTATATTAGGTATGTTATTATTATGTATGATATACAATTATTATTGTATTATAGTATATTATGTATAATATATAGTACTATTATTGGTTACAGAATTTCAACTGGGGAAATATGTATGTATTTTGTATGTGTAAACTGTATAAGTACTAAAATGACTAAGCATATTGGCACATAAATATTGTTTTACAAGTATATAAGTGTGTACCTATATTAAAGTTTGCATTCAATTGAATCTGGCATGTACAACAATTCCAGTAACATTCTATTCGTTTATTATAAAATACAAAAAAAAAAGTTTTGCTTCAGCCTTTGCCAAATTGCTTGGACAAAAAAAATTACTATAATTAAAATAATATTTAAGTATAATCTAATTTTTGAGCTGGTTTTTAATGTATAGTGAAGTATACCAAATACAATCGTTTGGTATATTATTTTTATTTTTATCCAACTCATATATTTATAACAGACTAGGGAGAATTGGACGTTTATTCCGACGAATAATTAAAAAAAAAATAAGAAATAAGAATAAAAATAAAATTATAATAAAACATAATTTCATAATTTTGTAGTGATTATTTTTCAATAAATTATTGGTTTCGTTTGTAATATATTGTAATTTAATGCCACAAGAAATATTATGTTGCATAGCATTTTAATAATCTGCGTGGTATCAAGCATAAGAACTATGTCACATATAAAATAGATGAAAGATTTTTTTTTGGGTAAAATTTGTACTATGTTTCAATTTGGAAAAGGTATAACAATAAATTTAAAATTAAAAGCATACCTTTGTCACGAATTTGTGAAACACACATTTGGTAGGCATGTCAATTATTTAATTAGGTAATCAAAATTTTTAATTTAACTGAAATGTAATAAATATCTTAGAATATAATAGGCTACCAATGTACTCCTGGAATTTTAATGTAAAATTCAATATCCAATACATATTTTTTATCGAAAGTCATAAATCTAAATCAGATCAAATATTTTTTATACATTTTAACTAATTATTCTTTTTACTTACTATAAAATGTCAACAATATTTTAGTTTTAAATAGGTATAGTTAAAACTATGGCCTAAAAAAAAAAAAATTAAAAAATGGGAACTAAATACCAATGTACATTTTAATATTGATTAAATACTTATTATATACAAACATTAACAAATTTGTCCTTACGAACATCACGCTGAAATTGAATGTCATTAGTTTTCATATTAATCCAACTATATGAATGTAGAAAATGAAGGTTCTCACCTCGATAATTTTCAATTTGATAAGAAATATGTAATTAGATTTCAAACAATATGATCGAGAAACATAATAATAATAATAAATATAAGTTAATAATAATATATGATCGCCCAATATGTATATGAACATTATAAATAAAGTTATTATGATAAATTAATAATTGACTTACAAAAAATATTTAAAAATCAAATCTATACTCTTCAATAATGAACTATTTCGACGACTACGTCTACGTAGCGAATTTGTTTGATAAATTTATGATTCAAATTGTGTTTTTTTTTTTTTTGTATAAGAGAAAAACGAATGTATATAAATATATAATATTCATTAAATGCGTGTGTACATATTATGTACACGTTTTATGCAGAATATAATTTATTGTTTGTATCCATAATAATTAGTATAGCAATTAATAAGGCTGTTTAAATTGAATTTAAATAATGCTACCTAATTATTATTTTTCCAAATCACTAATCTGTTTTCAACTGAAAAAAGAAAACGAAATTGAAGCCTATGTAACAATAATGTATGTACATATAGATATACATAATCAGACGAAAGCCAGCGATGACTAAGCYAGCTTAAATAATAAATATAGTAGTATATCATACGATTTCACTAAAATCTTTCATCATAATAAATATTACGTAAAGTATAGTAATTATAATTTATAATTAAATTAGCAATACGTACACAGCGAACATTTATGATTTATCGATTGCAATATTTTGTTCGCGTTTTGTGATTGGAGAWTTTTCGATTGATTATTTGATCGGTTTAGTACACATTTTGATTTGTCCAATTTTGTTGATCTTGGCAATATGTGAATATTTTCGAGATATGTGATTGTTGTAYGACATAAATATAATATTAATAATAACGTATGTGTTCCTATCATTCAGTGAACAAAATACATTAAATAACGATCTAAAAGCTATTGCAATTAATAAATCATAAAAGATACACTGCATAAATAAAACGAACACAACATATTTTGTTTCTAACAAATATTTCGTTAGTTCACACCAACTAATTAATTATATAAAAAAAAACAACATACAAGACACATTTCCAATGCCATAACTTAGTTATTTATTTAACAACATAAGGAAATCGATTACTTAACAAGTTAAGTTTTTTTTAACCAATTATTAATATTTTGTTCATTAACATTATTTTTAAACTATTGTTTATATAATAATAACAAAACAAAAACCAGTAATTTTATAGATACAATTTTTTTGTTAAAATATTCTAAAAAAAAAAACTAATATTAAACGAATAATCACAAAAAAAAAATARTAATTAAAATAATAATGGTGTTACTTACAAGATAAATAAAAAAGAAAAAACATTGAAATAAAATTATAAACTTAAACATCTTAATATCAGTAAATATTTGTTTAAACTTTAAATAGTATATTGACAACCATAACAACAAMATGTTGTAAAACAATATTTCATTGGTACAACAGTAAATTATTGAGGATTACAAGAAGAGTTTTTGTGTTAAGGAATGTCGGCAAATAAAAGTTAAAATTTATACAACGACTCTATTAAAATAAGCTAATAACACAAGACGGCAAGGCAAATAAAAATAACGCTTGTTTAGTCGATCTTAACGGTAACCATTGCAATGTGTTCGTGTGRCGTATTTAACATGATGTTAATTAATTGGTTGTTACGCTTGAAAAACGATAAAATCTAACAAATGTAAACAAACGTATTCAGATAGTCTTWTTTCATTCACAATTCACAGGTGTTACAGTTGAAATTGGCAGTGAATTTTTATGTTTTAATCATATCATAAAGTTAATCGTAATAATGTAGATAGTAGTATATTATTATAGTAATATTAGACATGTTATGATATTTGGGGTCAACGAGTTTAAGTAGAACGGCCCCGTCGGGTTTCGGTAAACCTTAAAATTTAAGTAATAGAAATACGCGATCGCAACTCAACATTGTGGCGTTAGTGCGATTTTACGGTTTTATAATGTTGAACAGCTGACCAAAATGTTATGTTCGTAAATATACTAGATAATGATCAATTTGCCTTAAATATGTACAGCGAACAAAAAAAAAAAACACAGCCTTATAAAACAATGCTACGCCCAACGCACTATTTATTTAAGTTAATAGTTACTATCAAGAAGGCGAACCACCAAATAGGACGAATAAATTCCTACGCGATTATTTTTTTTTCATTTTTTTTTTTTTTATTCGTCTAATACTAAATTAAACTAAGTATTAAAGCCGCTTTTGATAAATTGAATGTAAAAAAAGTTCGACAAATGTTGTTGGTGTCGCATTGTTTTTTAAAGGTCACATTAAATATAAACCTATGTAAATACATATAATATATTATTTATATATATATATATTATATAATTTTAAGCTTAAGTGCCTATATGAGGGCATACGAGTAAATTATAACAATAACCATAATTTTAGAAAACAGTGATAATGATTTTTATCAAATACAATGAACAATTTTATATTATGTGCAACAATTTGTTTAACGTAATAATACTAAAAAACAAACAAAACATTTGAAATAAAAAACAAAACCGTTCGATAGACGCCTGGCGTGTTGAGAAAGTTGCCGGCCAACATAAAATTAGTGTAAATAAGTATAAAAATTCGTACCTGACGGACGAGACGTGAGCTTCAGGTTACTTATGAATAAATTGTGATCACTTCGCGACCACCGCCTCTCACCATCAACACTTTGTCAAGGCCTTCGGTCATCACTTCTAAGAATTCCATGTCTATAAAACGATGAGTCAAGGATACATTTATTCTAATCCATAACTTATCTACAAATAACGTGTGATATGTTTATAATTATTTAGAAGCAAAATTATATTTTAATTTTTAATCATCCCAAAAGGACTATAGTTCAAAAAAAACAAAAAAAAACAGTAATTTAGTATATTTGACATATTAGATAAGCCATTTGGGTTCGCATTCAAAATCAATGTCTATTAGATAGGTTTTTACATTTATTGATGTTGTTTATGTAGAGATTAATTAATATGATTTTTATAATTTTGACAATACTATTAAAATGTACGTTGAAACTTCAAACGAGTTCCTCTAAATAATCTTAGAAATAGCTTCTTTTATAGCGCGTAGAATACATATTAGTATCAAAATTTTGATACTTTATACTTTCAAGTCATAACAGTCTTGTAGACATTTTGAAYTTTGTCAACTCAAAAAAAAATKTATTGTCTTCCCTAAAGTAAAGTGTTTGAATTACGTTATTAATTAACGAAATAACATTTGATGATTACTGTTTATCACAATATAGTACTATAGAAATATAATATTAAATTAGGTTTTTACAAAAAGGATACAGTTTGATTCTCTCTCTAATTTGGTATCTTTAGGCGGTCCTGGTAAGTTGAATATAACCAATTGAGCGTCTCTCGATCTACTGACAATGACTTCGTTCAGTTTAACAGCTGTGTGCATTCTCCTCACATTATCTTCGTCACTGAAATAAACAGAAAGTGTTTTTAACCGCAGTGTAATACGTTACCTACCGATAACCAAGATTATTGGCACTWAGATATTTGTATACTTACGGTCGCATTGTCGATGTAGATGAATCTGTTGTCTCCTTTGGCAGCGAGTCCTTTAACACTCCAGGCTTATCACCATTACCAGTTGTTCGTTTATCTTCGACATCGAATGCACTTTCGGCCTGCATATTAAATAGTTATAGCGTTATGTATAATACTTCAACTCACGCCATACGTATCCAAGTTTGTTATACTCACAGATTTTGATTTTTTCGCTTCGTCGTCCATGCTGGTTTCTTCCTGGAAACGCACTTTAGTAGCCGATCTTCCCTCCGAAGCGTCTTTTCTATGGTGCTGGTCTATTATGGATTGTACCTATATTACCGTAAAAAACGATTTCAATAATTTGTAAAAACTAATAATTGTCTATCATTCAAGATAGTAAAACGTTTCATGGTTTGAATGCCCGTTTTAAATGCACAGCTATACTGACAAACTGAATTAAATAAAAATATGTCGAGTACAAAACACAACGCACGGTTGAAAACAATTATAATATATCAAGCTTTTTAATAAATTWCTTTTATTGCATTCATAATAGCACTATGTAGGTTAGGTATACGATACAGGTAAACTATTTATAAGAAATGAGAACACTTATCACGTTGTAATGTTATTATTAATATAATGATAAGTTGATTGAAACAAATAAACGAAAATAGGAAATGCATTGATGGTTAATGAAAAAGTTGTGTTATTAATGATAACGAGCTTTAATCAAATAAAGGACCAGTTTATATATCCAGTATAAAAAGTTGTGAAAAATTAAACCTAAAATATAAGTTTATTATGAAAATAATTAAAACTACGTACGACATTTTTTTATAAAACTATAATACGAAATTGATATTATTCTTTAATTGATTTTGAGGAACATTGTATTCAGAAACAATATTAATAAGGTTAAAATCATAAAGTAACAATACGAAATCTATAAATAAAACTTCTAATACAAAAATAATGTTTTCTACACGTTGAAGCATTTAGTTTTATGCAATCATATACGTATAATATGTAAATAATTATTTGCTTATTTTCTACTCTACTTGGATACATAACTAATATTTATCTACGAATTTCCAAGTATTAACTAAGTACATAAACACTCTAAAGCGTTTCTAAAAGTTAAATAAACTGAAACAAACCAATGGTGTATTCTCTCCAGTCGATGTTTCTCGATTGAAATCTATGATATTACGCATCTTTTGTAAGCCAAAAAGATAAAACAACAAACCACAAGCCGTGTTTAAAGATAGTAAAAATGAAGGAATAATCGAAGTTGAAGTTTTATTAATTTGTTATAAAGTTTAACACAACAAAATGTAACATTTTAACTTACCATTCCAAAACTTTCTTTCTTATTAAGTCTGAGTTCCCTTAACATTTGATTTCGTTGTTCCATCATGAGTGTTCTTTCATATGTATAAGCTGATATATCGTTATTTGTCTGAAACACAAAAATTGTTTTAACACMTACGTATGCCACGTCGATTTGAATATATTTTTTCAAAACACAAATAAAGTGAAAATTATTACCATTTCAACCACTTCGACTTCTGCTGGTATTCTGAGTTGGTATAAGAACGTCTTTAGATCTTTTTTCATCTGGATGGAGTTGTCGTCGGTCTGCGCCACTGTGAATATTCTCAACTTGCAATTTTTCCAGGTTCTATGTTGTTTCAACAAGAAAGGTATGAGCATCAGAATGCCTCCGTCGTGTACGATCCACCAAATATCGATTGTGCCCGACAGCTATTATACAATTACATATGTGTGTGAAATAAYTGATTTATTGACTGGTCGGTCGTTCAAGACCATTAAAATTAAAAAAAAAATGTCTATATAGTCTAAGATTTTACCTTTGTCGCCGAGTCTGGAAATGATCGTATGCCTTTGGGTACAATTAAAGCCATCTTAGCAGCTGTTACTATACGAATGGTGTGTAGAAAAACTTGCCACGATCGGTCGTTCTCAGATTGTTGCCAGCTGTTTGGCCAGCCTAAAATGACGGTGTTGGGTTTTAATCCTCCAAGTCCAGCAATTTGTATCCTGTGTAGGCCCGAGAATAAAAGATTTATATATGATCAATGACTGCACTGGAGTGTCCCTCCAAAATGAAATACAACAACTCACAAATGACTGAGTCCCTCTGATGTGTTATTGGAGACTAAAACATCAGCAAATCCTTTGACCTTTTCCTCGTCCATCAACCTCACTAGTTCTTTCTTGGTGGATTGCACGTCGTGACCGGTTTTCTTGATGAAATCACCTTCGATTACAGTTGCGCTCACTGTAAGCCCTTTGCCTGCCTTAAGTTGGGAGACCAGCGAGAATATCTTTCGGTATTTCGGTAGGTCCGCGTTGAAGTTGACCAACATGAGAATCTGTGGACGCCAGTTCTTGGTGTGTGGCGGCGCGTCTTCCAGTCGAAGCAAACTGTATCTCGCAGCTGACAAAGCTAAACCGCGCATACCGTCACCCCATTCCTTTTCCGCTCTGCGATAAAACGTGAGTATCAAAACAAATAATTATACTGCAATAATAATAATATGGTTAATCGTGCACTATGTATTGCACGTAACTATATATCATATTTTGGTTTCCATTCCGAATGAATAATTTACAAAGCCCGCGAGGAAATAATATTTAAATATTTAATATACGTTTGATTAAACACGGTTCGAAACCGATTAATAAAAAATAGCACTGTGGTATCTACATATTTTATTATGTGGGTACCTATACCTACCAAATATTGAAATCGATGAAATTAATTATCGTCGTATTTTATTTTATCCCCCGCGCGTAAGCATGATACCATAATAAAATATATACGCACCACAATGATTATTATTTCAAACTCACCCTCGATACTCGATGTATTTGTAAATTATTCCCGCCATGCCCAGAGCTAACAGCGCGAAATACCAACTTGACATAAACATGACAGCAATGCACAACACGAGTCCGGTGAACGACAGTGTCCTGTGGAACAATTCATACGAAATCGAATTACACTAAAATACAYGGCATATAGGTAGGTGCTGTGGTCCACGAGTTGCACTCAGGCTCGTAACCATTGGAGGAGCCGCCTATCCGATGGCACCCTAGCAAGTGTTTTTTTAATTAAAAACCTTCATAATCCTGTGTAAAAAAACGGATAAGAGATCTTCCATAGCTGTATGTAATATTATAAAATTTCAAAAATAAATGTATAATATATTATGCACGACAAAGCTTTACCGTTATATAAGTTGTTTTTATCGACGCGGTAAATTACATCGCTTTTAATCGATTTTCTATAATATAATAATATATGAGTAGGAAATTAATTATATAAACGTAGTGGGTATAGCAACTAAAGCACTGGGAAGAATTTTTTTACTACTTTATATTAATATATACTGAGGTGTAAGCTTATAGATTAATGTATTCGATGATAAAAAAAAAATACATAGTGAGGTACTTATTTTTTATAATAACATCATCCACCCATAAATTTATGTTCTCTCCTTGCGGAGATCTGGCATGGTTCCGGCCTTCCGGGTCTGTTAACAACATTGTATCGTGCGTTGCGCGCCGTTTAATATGATCACTCGTTACATATACTTACCAGTGATAGTACTTAAACCTTGGTCTCCAGTTCGGCGTGCGCAACAACGTTTGCAAGACGCACGCCAAGTTGACGAACGCATAACACATCAACAGGAACATGGCCAAGAGCGGAGCGAGATTGTCGATGTTTCCGATCAGTATGCCACACTGACACACGGCTACGGTTATGAGAAGAGCCCGGGTGGGTTCACCGGATGCCGATGATTTGGCAAACGGTTGCAAGAACGGTATGATGTCGTCCTTGGCTATTGCCTGTGCGGGACAATACATTTCGAACGATAATATAATATTATAATATTAACGTTTGCATACAACTAATATGCAATAAAACAATTGACGGGCTCAAGACGATCGATCTAATTGTATTTCACAAGGAGATCATAAATATAATAATAATAATAATAATAATAATATGTTTTACTCGTTTTTATTATCGTAAGATTTGGAGATTTACCTGCAATAGCCTCGGCGCCCCGGTGAGACTCTGAAGTCCGGCTCCCAATGTCGATAGAGTTGCGCCCACCAAAATAACCCATTCGTTTGGCCATGCTATGTTGGCCACCACCAGACGTCCTCCAATACTCTGACCAAATCTGTTTACATTAGAACAACATATTTATAGGTACGATTTGTTATAACCGATTGACAGTTCTTATCGAAAGAGATTTGTTGTCTACAATGTGTCTCACGATATCACGAAATAGGTAAATAATATTTTAGGCAACTATAATAAACGACGAGTTCTGTCATTAAAAGCCATAATTCGAAGCGATTTTTAGACATTAATACAGCAAAGGCACGATGCATTTTACACTTGAAGAATATATAATCATTTGATTAAGTTTATTGAATATTGTACCATTCGATTGAATTCCGTGTAGGACATACATTTTTAAGAAACTCTAAAATTTTAAATAATTGAAATAACCATATTGTCTATATTCGTCGAATGTCACGATAACTTATTCGCTTGTAATGTAGAGGCGTTTTTCTTATTTCAATAAAACATTTTTTAAACGAAAATAAAATTAAGTGCAACGAAAGTGTAGCATTTTTATATAATTTTTCATCAAATATTAGTGTAAATATATATTTTTGTGGAATTTATTTATTTCGATTAATTCAAGTCAGAAGAAAAAAAAATAAACGTAAGTTCCGATTGTAATATCGTATAAAACATGGAAGAAGTATATTAAAATGATAGTTTAATACAATATAGCCATGTAGGTACCTACGTCCTACATAATAATTAATAGTTTTCATATCGACGATGTACTTAATCTAAATGTGGTTWGAGGTGCTTAAAATATTTTCTGTCTGCAACAGAGGCAATATTATCGAGCTTAGTATATTTTATTGAAAAATAATTTTATTAGACGTCGAAAAAAAAAGTTAAATCTTTAAAAAAAAATCTCGACTTTTTACATCATATTGTACTGTATTATGTATAATGTACAAAGTATGCGTCATATGTATTATCATATTCAGGCACTACCCATAGAAAACTGTTGTAACTTTATCCCTATACACAGCTACAACTAAACAATAGACGGCTGTAAATATATTAATATTTAACGTCGACGACATGCTACGTAGCGGATTTGGTTTAGTATATTAATGTTCTTCAAAGTTGACGATTTAAATTTTGCATCCATGTACGATACGATAATGTCTGATGCATTATTGAATCGGATTTGTGTGCGTGTAGTAGAAAATACAAAGTGGACGAGACGTTGTCACCGTATGTCTTACCATAAAAGTCTAATAAAATACGTGGAGTATACAATGCACGACGATGCTCGAAAATATTATTTTTTCTTTTATAAAATAAAAGATACAAATAATGTAGTGCTTTTTCAGAACAGCATATGAATAAAATTAAAAGAGAATAACGACAATCCTGTGACACAGTTAAGTCTATTTTAGGTAATTCAGCTAAAAATTATGTTCTATTGAATAAATTGACCTCATTGTCCGTTATTTTCATCAGTAAATTTGATTTTGTGCGCTCAGTTATTTGATTAATTTTGAATACACCAGCAAATAATGATTGTATGAAATGTATTTAAATTGAATGATATCAGCATCAGATTAAAATTCATTGAATTTTTTTTCTTTCATAAAAAAAAAGTGGTAAATAATAGTGTGACAACAAATTTGATCTCCGAAGTAGGAAAATTTGTTACGCTTACTTGTCTCTTAATAGTAAATTATCAACCGTAGCTCCGAATAATAAGACGGCAGACAGATAAACCGACGATGTACTCAGAATAGCCAATATTGTACCAATGGGAATTGATTTTTGTGCATCTGCTAGATCTCCAGATCTGTTAGAACCAGCCATGATTCCTAATTAAAAATAAACGAATAAATAACGATTATAGCGGTAATAATAATTATTAAAAGTAGAAAAAATACTGACCGGTTACAGACGGAAAGAATATTCCAATAAGTATGGTGAATGATGTAGTGATATCTACCATTATCATATTATAAGAATTCTGACTCGATGCCAGAATATCTTCTTGGAGATGACCTCTGGCTATGTACTGTCCTTTTTCCAAAAAGTTACCAAAGATATTTTCTGCAACATAAAAAGCATAGTTTATAATTTGCATAGATATGATAATATTGTTTTTATCTGATCCGAACAAAATAGCTGGGTATACAAAGTCTAGCGAATTAATTTGAAAACATTATATTATCATATTATATAATGCATTTGATAATTATTATGATATAAAGAACATGTTTTTTATAATTTGTTTTGAATAAGTGCATATTGTTAAGGCACAATAATAACGATAAATGAAAGATTAATTTTTAACAATTAGCTTTTAGCGTATGTTTTACTCTTTAGGTAACTACCTATACGAAAGTAAAATAACTGGAATAATCGAATTTGATTTGATTTAAGTAAACAATAAAACGCAAAAAATATGTTGATTCAGTATTTTTGCGTAGGTATAATAYATAATATATAGGTACCCGTTAAAGTCGAAGCGTTTTAGTATTTAGTATTTCTTATTTCAGAATATCCATACGGGCAGTGGGACAGTAGGTATTTAGGTTAGCGTAACATAATGAATACCAAACATTTTATGACTTAGACTTGTACAAAATATTCCTCGATGGAAATTGCATAATAATATGTTATTATTATTATTGATTTTCCTATAAAAAAAACACCAACCGAAGAAAACGCCGCTGCTAATGCCCCGGATGCCTTTCACAATCGATGTATTATGTCTCACGAAGTAGTCCTCGCACGCTCCGGTTCCGTTGGAGCAGTACATGTTGTACAAGTAACCGCCAACCGCCTTGTTACAGTATTTCAAGTCCATGTCCTTCAGCAGCCGATTTCCCAGCGAACACATGCTGAAAAGTGACACGCGGTCAATAATATTATGATATTGTGGTTATAATATATTATAATGTATTGATAAAATGAAGAAAAAAAAACGCGTGACGTGCTCAGCGTGACCGATTCGGTATATTGTATAATACTTATAGGTGCTTACTAGAGCTTATCGCTGCCATGGAAGTTATAAAAAATGCCCACGTATACGGACAATATGGACAGCAGCACGCAGGCCAGGGCCACGGACGCGAATTTGTTGACGAACTTCACGCCGACGTACACGATCGAGCTCATGACCATCAGCAATATTGTCCCGTACACGCGGAAATTGTTGTACATTATGCTGTTGTCTTTGGAGAAGTCGCCGAAAATCGATAAGCTTGGCGCCATGTATGTCTGTCGAAACATAATAAAGTTCGACGTTAGAAATAGAAGCTGTCGTAATTTTTGTACGCGTGTGACWTACAACATATGATAATGGTATTATTTATATATTTTATTTTTTTCGAAAAAGCATTATTGTTTCGCAGTTTCTTTTATGCGACGCGCCAGCATCGATTTCGAATATAGTAGAAACAATAAATACAAAAATTAAAAATATCCTATCGTATATCARCATTGTTTGTTTGGTTTTATATATACCATCAATCATTAGAATGCAAGGTTTACTTAGTTATTATATTTAGTAAACCGTATGTTATTAGGTAATCAGTGGTTAAAGCGGAGTACCCAGAAAACGTACGAAGTCAAACTCCTATTTAAAACTTACATTTTACATCCCCTTTAGTCAGCTATTAGTTCTAACCTAACCACTAGTGTGAATTGTGTATTTGTTGTTACCCACGTAAAGCATTAATAGTATCTTGCAAATTATAAAAATGTTGACAATACTTATACCTTTATCCAATTCTTCTAAAAAATGTAAAGTATTCTAATAAGTATTAAGCTTTTGAAAAAAATATTTAGAATGTTATGTTTCAAAAATATATAAATTATAACGATATTTTAAATAACAAGTTAGTTATATCATTGTCATTATTCCAAAGGTAAGTGGGAAATTTATCGTATTAAATATATACTTATAAAAAAACTAATTAAACATTTTTAAAGTATAGTAATATTACCAACTATTATTATAATATCGTATAATATTAAAACAATTAAGTACTTACATAGTCTGTTTAGTTATTAATTTCATAATTAAATGTTCATAGCATAAACTCATTAAAAAGTTTATGGTGAAAAAAATGATGTTATAATAAATATCGATCATAGGTATTCGGTATTTTGTAATGAAAATAAAGTTCAAGCAAAAAGTATTCAGAGCTAATAAATTATAGCTTATCAGTTATCATGCTTATCATACGTACCCGTGTACATAATGCCTCGCGATGTTTTTCAATATTTTAACCGATTTGACCTATCGGCGAGTTACTTACGAGTATGATTTCAACAGCCCCGATGATGTACATGGATGCGGCCAGTGTGATACCGGTGTAGAAGAGCATACCGACAGCTCCTCCGCACTCGGGACCCAATGACCTGGATATCAAGAAATACGGTCCACCAGCAGGCACAACACCGTTCGTGGCTATGGCACTCATCGAAATGGCAGTCAACATTGTCTGAAAAAAAAAAAAAATTCCGTTCATTAAAATGGACTGGAGATAAATTTGATTTAAAGGGGTACATGACTGGTTGGTGGCTGGGGCAGTTTTCGCTTCGCGTAATGTATTGCAATTACGTCCGCGAGTTGACATCATCGGAGTTTAATCTCGGCGAGAGAAAAGAAAATAATCGTTAAAATCATTGTTTCGCCATGTACGTTTAAGTAATTGGACGAACATAAAAATTATGTAATACGCACACATTCAGAATACAATAATAATATATTTTAATGTATACTCGTTCGGGTGAATGGCTCAGAAAACGTGCATATATATATATATATATATTATATAATATACATAATATATACATACGATATAGTGATGGGTTGCATTAAGATAATTAAACCATAAATGTTGTTGGGAGTGATATGAGCGTTATGAATAATGGCTGTAAAATGATCCCTTCATGTGTATCACGGTTGTTAGATTTCCCGTTTAACCTATAAATGTAATGGTTTGTGTAACGAAATCTGAAAAAAAATCATAAACGTCGTTTTAATCGCCGTTTCTATGGATACGGTGCATCTAATCCGTTTTTGCATACCCATCTTCATATACTTCTTTTCAAAGCAACACGCACGTTTGAACAGGAAATTTTGAACATTATTATAGTTTTTGTACGATAATAATAATAATACATAGACATTGAAAATGGGCAATATCCTGGAGCACTGGTACAGTTTGTTATGGGGTGGCTTATCTAGTGACCCAACTAGGATTTTTTTTTATGCGAAAATGTTTCGAATATTGCTCCGAATATCCTTAAACCGAATTTTTACCCATTATTGACCATTGAAAGGGAGGGTATATATTATACTTTGTATTTTCACTTCCCCGATAAAACTTGAAACATTTGAATAATTCTACGATTTTTTTAAACAGTTGTTTCAAACACCCCCAACCCCTTCAAATCACCATGGAATTATATTTTTGTCTGAAGAGGATAGGGGAAAACACACATCGTACTTTGTTTTTTCACTTCCTCAACGATACTTTTTTTTTTAAGTTCTTTTTCCATGAGCGAAGCTAAGCTCTTCCACCAGTAGGTAGTTCATACAAATTAAAATTACATAGGAACCTACGGATTTTATATTATATTATAACTGTAAAATTATCACCCGTCAGATATTATATTGATATTTTATTGTACAGCTCGAAAATTGATAATTTGAATTTAATAAAATATTTGGGCGAGTGATAGTAACAGTTGGTTGTATATTATAAATTAATTGGCTATAGGGACATCATTTTGCTCCACCCCCCCCCCCTGGACAGTACTTGAAACTCGTATATATTATGTTTTAAACTTTTGCTATTTTATTATGATTTAACAAAAAGAGGTTACGATTTGAATCATTTTGAAACAATCGTTGTTTCGATGATATTACGCGGTTGGTCTGCACATCGTTGCATGTGTTTGATCACACGTATAGACTTTTGACCTCGGAGCAGCTTATTTCCTCGATGGAATTTATGTAAATGTATAGCGATCTGTCCTGCATTTATCATATTAAAGCGACGAAAAACTAATAGCAGAAAGTCATAAGTAATTAATAGTAGCGGCGTTTCATAATGTATAATGTATGGGAAAATATGCGTCACAGGATAAATTATTAATATTTGAAATATTCGAAAGACGCAGTGCTGTCTTAACGATGTTCAAACCTGTAATTATTCATAAAGAATAACTTTTGATTAAAATACGGAATTCTGAAGCGCATAGAGTTTATAACGGCATGACGTGACGCACATAGAGACAACACGCTTGCATGAACTTAATTCGAATTCTGTTCACCTACTGCGTAGGTATAGGTACGTTATAACAAACGAGTTTAAAGAATCCTCCACTCATTCGTTTACGAGTGACCTTTATAATTTTTTTTTAGCCATAATAATAATGCTCACGGGTAGAAAAATTTCAGTTAAAACGCGCGATTGACGRTCMTCTTACAAGAGTTTGATATACGTATATAACGAGCACGCGTTGGCGGTAAGTATACTTTGTGTAAAATAACTGAAGGGGCGGCGGGATTGTAACGGATACAAAAAAAAAAGCCCGTTAATTGATCGTTAACAACAAAAAAACAGTGGTCAGACCAGCCTGCGCATTCGAATAAGCAGTGTACCAGCTGTTTTGTTAAATTATAATATTGTAACATTTAATAAACCGTTCGCCTAAAAACTTAAATGAATCGCAGACGCAGTCAAACGGGCGGGGCGAATGGAGGCAAATGAAAATAAAAAATGAATAAAGTTATGCAAATTGTGAACAATTTCGAAGTATTTTTGTTTTCCCCAAGTTTATGAAAATCCATTACTTTAATAATATCATAAAACTTTACGTGCGTTAATAATTTATAATATTAGTACCTCAATAATAATAATAATTAATTTAAAAATAAAAATATTGCTCAAGCTAAAATGGATAGATTATATAATAATAAAATSGTCATATACGATTAGGTACGAAGGTTTTGAGATTTTAACAGACTATTCATTTGTATATTATTTAATGTTTTTAAAGCGACTGTCAAATATTTGTATTACAGAATCCAAATCTAAACCATTCATAACAATGTTAATAGGTATTGTAATACGTTTTGTAATGATGATTTTTTTTGCAATGATCTAACTTTTGGCTATCCCTGCAGTTGGTATATATCAATATTTGTTCATTAGGTATAAGATAACAGGTGGTTACCTGATGAAATATCATAAAAATTACAGTTTTTTGATGAAATTGAGTGTATTAGAGGTATGTTGGTACCTATRTAACAAAATCATCAAGTAATATGATATAAAAAATATAGTTGGCCAGAATTTTAGAGGRAGATAGAGTGATATAGGAAAGACAGGAATGATTTTAGTAAAATATGTCCGTGGAATTGACAGATTTAACTGAAACTGAATAATATTATGGGCTTGTATATTCATTGATCGTGTGACTATTTATTTACTATCGTAATATTATTGTTATTGGTGTTGTATACAAATATTTTTTAATACACTACCTATATCATAACTGACTTACCACGCAGCAACAGGTGAACACGATTCCGAACCCGTAGATGACGCCCGCCGTGCCGACCACCCACGACAGCCGAATGAACAAAATGACTCCGAAGATGTTTTGCACGCAAGGCAGGTAGACGCCGACCAGCGTGCCCATCCTGGACGATCCCTGTTTGGCAGTGGTCGACTTGGTGTCGGATTCTGCCAGACTCGGGATGGTGTTCGAGTAATCAGCGATCGAGTTGAGGAAAGTAGGCACCCGCGGCCGGTCATCCATTTCATCCTGAAATCAGTCCGAAACACAATGATAAGTGCCCGTAATGTCATAAGTAGGAAATCATTAWTTTTCTATTGCCACGGTTTGCATAATTTTAATTTTTAAGCGAGATACGAGCGTTATTTTATTTAAATATCTTAAATTGTCATCAGTAACTTATATAGCGAAGGAATATCATAAAAACCCGAAGTACGTACGAATTTTTATTTATAATACGCATATCTTCGTAATATTACATTTTTTAAAAGGTATATTATGAAAAAAACAAATAATATTTGATTGTAGCTAAAATAWTATTWTGTGACTAAAATTTAAACTACCTATCTTATTTTATTACTGAATGGACGATGGTCATTATAGCAACCATTGAAAAATGCCACCATCTATTAATGGTATTCTCAAGTCATACATTTATATTTATATGTAACAAGCCTCCTAAATTTAAAAAAGTTAGTACATACTACATACAGTTAGATTATTTCCTTATTTAGTCAGATAATTTATTAATTATGCTATTTAAAGGGTCAAGCTTAACTTTTCAATCTACTCTAACATGCAAACTGATAAATAGCTAAATAATGTGAACTGCTGAATGTTAACATGGTACATATTATCCTTATTTGTAAGTCAGAGACAACAAATACGGATGTAGCAGTGAGTCATCTTAATATACGATAATCACAAATCAGAATTGTATTGAACGTAGTAATAATCGATTATGTATAGATACGTTATTATATTCATGTATTTAAATAATGTATTATAATGGAGTCATGACATTCCGTAATAATAGGTGGAAATATGAGCGGGGTTCCTAATATCCACGGGAGATCATTTTAAAGGTTTAATTTATGTAGGTACGTAAAGTCAGACACTTTGCAGGATTTCATTTTATTTCTGATACCCATTAATCATTAAGTATAATAGGGATTATCAAATTTTATGTCACTACGATTATATAAAATGAAAATGTATTACCTAAATATTATTTAAAAAAATTAATTTGTAACTGTTGTTTGGTAATCATAAAAAACAAAATAGGATATTTCAAATTCTCAATTTCACTGTGTGTTTAGTATTTGATATAATAAATGATACTATGTAGCTAAATGTAAATATAAATTGAAAACTTATAAATAAAATAAGACGTATTAAATTCAGTGGTTTAATTTGAAATAGAAATAGAATTATTTATCATTCAGTTTAATGATTAATAAAAAACTGGATAAGTGAATTTATTTATTTGTATAAAATATTAACCTAACCTTCTTTTTAAAGAAGAACATTGTACCATTATTATTTAGTTGATTTTGTTATATAAAGAAAAATGTATTATAGTTGACGATATAACATTTGTAATACCTATGAGAGTAGGTAATATGTACTATAAGGAGATCTAGCCTATTGCATTCTATGTAAGCTGGTACAAAATATTCATAAAAATTCAACAAATAGTCTTAAAGAGTGATCTAGTTAAAATATTCGAGGTGTCATTCTTATTCTAAAAATAGAATTTAAAAATATAAAATAAAGACAATATAAAATGAGTAAAGCCTGTCCAAGTCTTGAAATATGACTACTAACAACTAAGTGTTTGGTTATTACGATTTTTGGCAATAGAAATAACTCTTTTCGTGAAATAAAATAATGTAACGATTTCTAAATATTGACGTAGCCATGTAGGTGCCTACTTTAATAAAATTGTTCAAGATTCGTAAAAAGAATTAAACATCAGTTTATCAAAGGATAACAAATAAATAATAATTAGTATTATACGTTAATTTAATAATTTACATATATATTTTAAAACACAACAAACGAGTTTAATGTGTAAAAGAATTTAGTAATTTTAATGTTGTTTAATTCTTTTAGTTCTTTTAGTTAACACAATCTTACTTTATATATATATATAGTATATTTATACTATATATAAATATATAAGTATAGTAAAATTTGTGTGTACCACAAAATACGTATATGAAATGTCGTTTATTCTGTGTGCACACTATATTAATATTATTATATCTAAAAATTATTTACTTGCTAATCACGTATCTATATATTTCGTAATGTACCTATATATTATAATATAATAGATCTATAACCTTTCACTACGTGTCTACGTGTATTAAAAAGTAGATGGCTTAATAATGGTACTTCATTCAAATTTTAAAATAATAAAGTTTATAGTAAATAAAATAAGATAGCAGTACTCATAAAGAATTATTTAAATCAACATTATTTGTTTTCTGTATTTCTAAATAAATTCAAGAAAGTTTTAATAACTTTATCGATTTCGACTAGAAAAAGTTATGTTTAYTCAATCTACTGCTTTATTGTATTTTTTGATATTTGTTGGGACTTATAAAATTTGGCGTTTCAGCCCAGTTTCAAACAATGTCCCTTTAAAAACTAGTTAGTATATTTTGGAAGGTTTCCAAAAATTATATTATAAGTTTTGGAATTGAATGACTACTATATTTTTTTACGTCCAATTGTTTGAAAAAAGTAGTATAATTTAAAATATACATATTTTATATTTTTACTTGAATATCTAATTTTCCACAGTGATACTTACAGAATAGAGGTATAAATTCGTTTCATATCCAGAGTTTCTGTTATTTTCGGACGAGTACGTTTCATCTTTAACATCACCTGTAAATAAAATCATTATTATAGAACATATATTTAAAAAATTGTATAATTATACATTTTTTATAAAAATTTATGTAAAATAAGTGGTTTATATTGTATCAATATGAATTTATTTTATATTTGATAAATTTAATGTATTTCTAAAATTAAAATATTTTTATACAGCTTTTAACAAATAATATTAACTACTATTCTTCTAAGAATAACATAGTAATATTATGCACAAATACTTTATAACAATGCTTTATGATGTAAACAGTTAAAATGTTGTTTTAATAATAAAGTAATGCTGAACAATTAAATGAAATAATAACACAATCACCATAATTTAATATATTATTATGGTAAACATTATGGGAAATAACAATTTTTTCTGATATTATACTAAATTCAGAGGTGCCGTTAGTGAACATCTTCCTCCACAAATTATTCATTTGAAATATTTATTTTTACCCATGTATCAAATTTAGCTATTTAAAACATAGTTAATAGATTGTCAATATCTTTATAAAAGTAATGTTGCTTTATGTATTAATATTCTAGAATTAATTCAACGATTTGTATATGAGTGTTAAATTTAATATGAGGATTTACAAAATATRTAACTAAATTGTATAAATATATACAATTTATTTATCAACTATAGTAAACAAATTACAACACCCATGGTCCATCGATTTAAGCCATTCAAGTGAGAGCTGGGAAATCTTCATTTTCGCCCTGACCCAWTTTTTTTTTAATGCCCGTTATTGTGGTTATGGAGTGAAGGACAGTGGAAGCGGTTCTATTGATTTTCACTTCAATAAAAATGTAACGAACGTTTTTTTAAGCTAGAGACAAAAAAGGCTTTTTACATTTTTTATTTGTATTTATTTTTATTGCAACTTTTTCCCTACCTCAATTCCCATAAAAACATCGATTACTGTCGGCTGATTACCAAATGTATAAACAAAAAGTAATAATAAACAATTAAATAAAACAAGGAGAAAAATATTTTAAAATATCCAGGCAATAACACAATGGAGTAGGTATGTACACACTTAAATATCAGATATTCAAATGAGTGAAAATTTCAATTATATCTATAACGTGTTAAATAATTAAACAGGTATAAAAATAAAGTTTTGATTTATAGCTATAGATTGCTTTTWTTGCGTAAAAGAAAAACAATATATAATTTTATTTTTATACTAAATTGATGTATTTTTGTAGAAAATGTCTAATGTAAATACAATTATTTGTTACGATTAATAYTTATTGAAGCCCTCTGACTTAAAGTAATTATTAAAATTATAAGGCAAGTAAAAGTAGACTTTAGTTAAATAAAGAGTTTAGTAAGGAATATAAACACATTAAATACTCGTTACAGTTAATTAAAAAACACTATAAATTATGTAAAATCATTTAGTTTTCAAGAAATAAAAATATCTGTTTAAAAACTTACAAACAAAATAAATTGTTCTGAAAGTTTTGTCATTACGACAAATGCGTCAATAATTAATCATAAAGTCTAATTAATTCAAATATTTAATATAACTTTTCAACTAAAATTATTATATCAAAATAAGTCATGAGATATTATTTTGTCTGTAGTAGTTTAAGAATTATGTTAATGCATTTATATTTATGATGATAGAGGTTAATACAATTGAAACGATAGACTCATATGAAAGTTAAGTATAAACGATTCTTTAATTAAAGAAATAATATGGTATAGTTCCAATTGCTGCCCTTGGTAATATATCAAGTATTTCCGTTACTATATATTTTTTTTTTATGAATTATCAATTTTTTCTTAAACGCTTCATAAACAAAAATTGTATATGTTTATATATACCTACTTTAATATTAACATTGTATAGCATAGCTTTGTACTTACATTAGTACACAAAAAGTATAACATTTATCAATAATTACATCACGACTTTACGAAATATAAATATTTTTTTTACGGTTATCACAGTCGGTACAAATGCGAWGTCAACAATAGGAACTAAAACGATTTTATGGTACTGAATGTGTGTAAATATATTTCGAATGCCCTTGTTCAGTACTTCATCGAACTATGTTGATCAATTGCTAAGCATTATTGGCAATGATTTAATTAGTTTTCTTTTGTTAGCGCGATGATATATTAATTTTGAAATTATAATAATTAAACCGGAACGCTGTGATTTTGTTTTCACGTCGTCTCGTTAGGGTGAAATGCGGTCAGCATTATTTAATTGTTTCGTACACGGAGTACACGGACATGATTTTGTTGTACCTACATACATAACCACATACACTCTTGTAGTTTGCGAACTTGGAAAAAAAAATGTCAGAACCTAGCGTTTCATTCTCGTAGAGCCCGCCGTCTTGTCCTGTCTTGTCCAATTATTACACACTAAACATTTGTCACTTTTAGAACAACTACCTACGAGTATTATAATTATAAACTTAATTCAACGCGACACGCAAATAAATTAAGATGTGTATAGTATACACTGTATACCACCTAACYTTTGTTTGACTAGAGGTGCGATCGCCACTCGTAGCCTCCTCGTGTTTTGTATCTTATTAGTAACAAAAGTATTCGAAAAATCCCCAAAAAATTAATATTTTTACATCGTGCAAACTGTTCACGTTTTTTAAAAACCATCGCAACACCGCGGAGGTTTGTATAAATCATGACAACATCCAGCTCTACCAAACGTTTGATTTTCTTTCATTCGCAAAATGAGTTGATAACTTTGAAGTTTAGTGTGTCGGTTATAATGATAATAATAATAATAAACAAATCTCGACTAGGCGTGCGAAGAACTTTAATAMAGGTATGGCACAATTTTTTCTTAATAGCTGCTCAGTAGTTAGTTTAGGTAGTGGTTATTTTGTAGCAATACTGAGTTAAAATAAGCAATTAAAAAAAAAATTATTTTCAAATAAAAAAATCTGTCTCTCAAAAACACATTATAGTTATAACTTTATAAGGTTAATCGGCGATTCCCTGGAACTAATACTTTGATTTCTTCAATTATTTCTCCATAATCCAGTTTCGTACAATTCATAAGCTGTCAAGACGCTTTTGGTTCATATACTTACCCGAAGTTTAGACTTAACAATATTTAGCTTAGAAAAAATTTTCTCACAGRAAMAACTTGTGACAGGTATTATACTAAATAATTCAATTGTTTTATAGAAATTATTAAAAATATTTCCTCTATCAGATTGACCTAGCTATCGAAGCCACTGAGTAATAGTCACCGTTGATGAACCTTTGGGCATTTCTTTATTTGGAATATTTTTTAATAGTCTGATTACTCTGATTTCACATTTTAATTTATCAACACTAATATTAAATGTTTTAAACAAATAAGTATAATCATTTTCAATGCTTGTCCGATTGATTAAGTTTCCAACTGCAGAAATTAAATTTAAAGTTTCTTAATTAAAACGTAAATTTAATTGATAATAATTCAAAATCCGAATATTATCTAGGTATTGTGTTACATTTTGGCGCGAATCACCTTATCAGAATTGAGTTACCAACATAGATAATAAATAAAAAGATGGAACCGTGATTTTACAGAATATTTTGTAGAACATGTTTTCTAACATTCTCAATTCTCAGATATAATACAAAAAATTTTATAAAAAAAATAAAACATAATTGTTTAGAGAAAGTTAAGAAATCACCCTCCCTCAGGTACGGCACAGRCCGTATAGGCCGCACCCGTGCGCACGCCTATGTGACTAGGATCGAACGATCGTACTTTGTCTTTCGATTACTGCAGCACTCGGGAGTGGGCGTCATAAGTAAACTCACAACCGCAAATCGACGAAATCGTGATCAGGTATCCGTCAGACATATTTCACACCTACCCCGCCCCCTCTCTCGCGTGATAACGGATCACCGATTTTCGTCCGATTATTAGTAATCCTTCCTGTAACGAACTCCGCTTATATAAGTGGATGGGTGGGATCTATGACGTGAAATTCCCATCCGGTTGTGTGGGCAACAGTCACGAAAAATACATTWATATTAATATTGGATTTATAAATAAATATCTCGGAATAACGTGCGAAACTTGTATAAATCCCTCGGCCCGCTTATTGTAATTATATGTCCAATTGACAGAGGGTAGACACGCGGCAAGTGATAAAAATATATACCCAKAATAGTAAAAATAAAAATAAAATAAAAACTGCCCCGCTTTGGGGAATTTAGTGCGACTCCAAACAGCCAGACGACGGACGGGGTGTGGAGATGAGTGCAATACAAAGAATATATATTATTTAAAAATAAAAAGCTTCAGCGATCCCCAGTACCCTCAGTCACCCCCAATATATTATTATTATATTCACCAGTGCTCTGACGTTCGCGCGCTTTTAAAATTTATTATCGCCGTTAATGAYGACGACGGTACATTCATATTTTATAGTAGTTTATATAAATTATACAATATACAATGTACATAATATATATTATATGCTCACCTATTATTAATTATTRTTATTATCATTATTATTATTATTATTATCATCATTATTATTGTTGTTGTTATAATTATTATTATTATTATACCGTACCAAGCCAGAGATTGAAGTCTGTGCCGGTTTGGTTGATAATTATTACCAAGTGTGGCGGTGGCCCTTACCGAAATCGTTTGCACGGCGACTGTGTGAATTCGATATTATATTACTCTAATATAAGCACACAGGTAAACGATGTACAAATAAATTATGCAACGTTCCACGATGGTAATTCGAGAGTCCGATGTTTGTCGTGTCTTTGACTTTCGGCAACACACGAACGTACAATGTGGGTAATAATATATGTATACAAAACAAAATTAATTGGTTTGGCTTATTTTTCTCGTATACAAATAATGTTCGGAAAATAATAATGAGCGTAGGTACCTAGGTAGATTTACGTAGAGTATAAAAACAAGACTTTTCAAAAAGAATCATATACTCTATTATTTATACGCAGGCATATTATACAAGGGATGTAATAAATA